TGTGTGTGTGTGTGTGTGTGTGTGTGTGTGTGAAAGACAACGACAATGTGGAGTTTGGTCAACCCAAGGAGGGCACTATACATTTCAAAGGGCATAAAAATAGAGGACAAAGGATCCTCATCATTCCAGGACAGAAGGCCACGTCGCTCGCTCAAACACAATGCTCGGAAAGATCGGACACCACCCTCGAGTGGAGGGCCGCGGCTGGGCCCAGCAGAGGGGCCAGACGCACCGGGCACCTTCTACCCTGGCCTTTGTCTTAGGAGGAAGCAGGAGTGTGGACTGGAGGCAACCCCACAGCTGCCAGAGCAGAGCCCGTGATGAGGTTCTCGGCCCATAAACCAGATGCATCACTTTCACGAACGAGTCCAGCCAGGTCCAGGTGCACCCGTCCTGCCCTTCAGATGCCTCATCCTTCTTGTTCTAGCAGCCTCTGGCGCGTTTCCATCACAATTTCTTCCATGATTTCTGGCTTTAATATATCTTTGATCTGAAAAAGAAAGGAAACGGGGATCCACCCAGAAACCAACCACAAGCAGATCACCCAACACAGTTCATATAAACCTCTGTATCCGCTGCTTTTATCAGGGCCAAGTGTTGTAAGTCAGGATCTGCTAGGAGCAGCTCAGTAAATCAGCAACATGCTGTGGGATACAGCTGACAGGAGCGAAGATGCTACTCAGTAAAGTTGGAATGGCCAAGATGAAATCCAGCACCCTAAATTCTTAGATCAATACGGTTGCTGCATGCTGTCAGGTGAATTCTGACTCAGAGGGGCCCCTGACAGCAGAGCAGGTGGTCTGCTCCAGAAGGTGCCCTCTGCTGTAATCCTCCCGAGGGCACATCACCAGGTCTCTTCTGCAGTGAAACAGCTGCCAGGTCTGACCCACTGACTTTCAGGTTAACAGCTACACATTTAAGTCCACCAGACACCGAGACCACTAAGCATATCTAGGGGCAGCTCTACCACTCATCAAGGCTGTCCCCAGACCACCACACTGATGGCCAGGGAAAAGGCATCTTGGAGACTTGCTTATTGTCCCTGGCAGCACTGGTGCTAGCGAGTGAACACCCAAAGCCTGCCCCCAGAGCAGCCCTGACGAGGGAAGCCCTGGGTGGAGTACCTGATGTGGAAGGGACACTTCATAGCAGTACAGGATGCTGGTATCATACAGCATCATCCTCTGAGTTACCATGGAGACAATGCAGTTCCGAAGCCGAGATATCACCTCTCGATCAGCAAGGGACACAGGCTATCAAGTGGATGCCAGGGAAGGAAAGTGAAAACCAAAGTGAGTGTGTGCTCCCAGTCAATCCCAGAAACCGCTCATGACTTAGTTTATTAGTCTGGAACACCCAACAGCTAA